GTTTGGGATCAGGAGCTTCAGGATGAGGAGCTGCCTGAGGTGCTTTGCCACCGGCTTCATAGTCATTGAGTGGAGCCTCATCTGGGCTGGAAGGAGCATAGTCAGAATCAACAGGAATACCTTCAGGTGCAGGTGTTTCCTTTGGCGCATAGGATGGAGGTGCTGCCGACGAACTTGAGCCAACTCCAACAGGCGTTGACCGATAGATCTTGCGCCAATCATCAGGTCGTGTGGAGCTCATGGTGCACCTTCTCAGTTGGAGTCGCCGGTCGAACAGAGTGCACACTGCATCGAAGAAGCTTGCCTGAGACGCAGAACCCAAAAAATGTGTCGCCGAGGATCATCTTGATCTTGATCTTGATGTGGTAGTACCTCGGTGAAGATGACTCTGCCTCGACCAATCCATCCAGGTCGGCTACTTTTCTTCATGCCACCACATGGACCTTTGTGAACGCCGCACCTTCACCAAATCAGCCACTTGAAAGGAAAGGAGTGGTTGTCGGACCTTGCTGTTGCCAAGGCGAGACAGAATCCTCTGAGATCTGGATTTGGTGGCCACTTGTTCTGCTCGAAGACGGGCTGCGACCAAATTGCCATAGGTTGCACCTATAGAAGCAGACCAGGCGCCTTTCAACCGATCAACAAGACCGGACTCGTCGATCTCATTCGCACTTTCCACATTGGGTCTACTACCTGCCTCTGGTCGAAGCAGAACCAAAGGTAAGGGTCGTAAATTCGTGAAAGGAGCTTGCCACTACCACGCTGCACTGCACCAGCAAGTCGAAGATAGGACAAGAAGTATACAGGCAGCTGTCTTTTTTGGTGTTTTTTTTCCGCCATACCTCGATTTCTGTCTGAAAAGAAGGATTCCGAGGACTCGCATACAAACGACGCAAAGAGGAAGCGTCCATTTCCGCATTGCCCGACAGCTTTGCTCGCTTGCTTTGCTTCTCACAAGGAGCTAGCCGCCAAGGTGAGGGAGACAACTGGGTCCTGAGCAATGTTGTCCAGCTGAATGGCGCTGGCAGTGAACTTCACATCTTTAATCGCGTGCTCCACCAAGGGGCCCAACCTTCTTTCTCAGCTGGGTAGAAAAGCTCAATGCCAGCTCCTGGCAACTTGGCGCTGTCAGCCACGATGCATTCTGGCTGACGGTGCTGATTGAGCCAGTGAAGGGTGAGTCCCTTGATGATCATCTCTGCATTCTCCACCTTCATGGTGGTGATGTCATAGGCCTCCATGAGGGGATACACAGCACGAACTGCTGCAATGACCAGCCGCCTTGTGGAAGTGAATGAGGTTCAGCAGCCACAGGTGGTAGTTCTTCTTCAGGTGAATCGGGTACTTCATGATCAGCAGCAAAAAGAGGCATTGACATCCTGAGGATCTGCCGGTTGGAAGTGTTCTGCTGCGCCCAGAAGCGAGCAATGGATTCGACCATCTGCTTGGGGTAGTAGGCTGCGCCGAGTCAACAGACAAGGATTGCAAGCCCGCCTTGCCGGGAACCTTCAGGCCTGGGATCTGGTGACGCCTCAGGCGTCTGGCCAACGAAATGGACGAGCACCTCACCCAGGACGAGAAGGAGCAGCTGATGCGGCTCTTGCGAGAAAGGCCACAAGTGGCAGTGGCAGCAGTGCCAGTGCCGACGGAAGATCTGGCGACAGCCTACGAGGGCGAGATGAGATGAAGAAGCGCTCATCCCACAAGGTCTGCAAGGCCTTAAGTGACCACATCAAACTCAAGACTTCCCTTCGTTGCGGACCAGATGTCCCGTTTCTCCTCAGCATTGAGGCCTGCAGACTGAAGTAGCCTGAAGCCTCTGAGCGCGACCAAGACAAAGGAGTCGGCCAGGGAGAACAAAACCAGGCGGTGCATCAGTCATTGCAACGCCCATAGATCGATGGCTAGGCGCGCCATCCGTTGGAGGTCGACGGTAAGGTGTTGAAGCGCCGACTGAACCATCTCCACCATCAGGTGTTGTTCTTTCTGCCGGTGAGGTGTCAGCAGCTGCAGCACTTGCCAATCCATCTTCAGGAGCGGGAGGAAGTTCAGTGTCCTGGTAGTCATAGTTCCACCAGTCATCATGCTCCGAACGGGGCTCCTTATCAGGGAGGTCGATGTTCTGCTCGCGCTGCTTGATGCCCTGCTTGTCCTCATAGAGCAGCAGGAGCGCTTCAACAAACTCGGAATAGCCAAGGGCTTCTCTGACAAGGAAGCTATTCATGGCCTCCTGGCGGAAGCTGAAGTATTGTTGGCAGGTTGCCGCTGCGTTGGGCAGCGTCTGCCTCACGAGCAGACTGCTCACAAGCCGCTGAAGAAAGTGCTTGGTCCCGTTGACATGGTCGAAGTCGGTGGGGACATGGCCAAAAGGCGAGCGGGCCCCCTCAGCTTGCTCACCAGCTTTGTAGCGCAGTAGCGCCTCTTCTCAACAGCTGTCCCACAGACAAACCCGCACACTTCACGTGTGTAACGTCGCCAGCCACGTGCATTTCCATCCCATGATGGAATCTGAGTCTCACGCTCCGACGTCATGGCGAGGTGAAGGAGGTCAAAGTTCAGGTCAAAGTGACCAAAAAGAAGAAGGAGACCAGGTCAAAGAGCTCGACCAGGTCAAAGGGTCAGGCACCGTCACCTGAAGTGCACAAAAAACAAAGAGGGCAAAGGGGCAGTTGCCGTCCAAGGGGGCAAGATGAAGACACGTAGTCAGGGTCTTCAGCAAGGGTTTCGTCCAGGAAGTGGTACATCTACCAGAGCATCCTGGCCTCTAACATAAGCTTGCGCAAGCAGCACGAGAAGAACTTCGACCTCCCTGATAAGGAGCCCCGTTCGGAGCATGATGACTGGTGGAACTATGACTACCAGGACACTGAACTTCCTCCCGCTCCTGAAGATGGATTGGACAAGTGCTGCAGCTGCTGACACCTCACCGGCAGCAAGAACAACACCTGATGGTGGAGATGGTTCAGTCGGCGCTGCAACACCTTACCGTCGACCTCCAACGGATGGCACGCCTAGCCATCGATCTGTGGGCGTTGCAATGACTGACGCACCACCTGGTTTTGGCGGCGGCGATGAGTTCTCCCTGGCCGACTCCTTTGTCTTGGGCGCGCTCAGAACCTTCAGGCTACTTCAGTCTGCAGGCCTCAATGCTGTCCATGTTGTTGACCTGAGCCGGCGACGAAGGCGGGGTTGCAATCCTTGTCTGTTGACTCGGCGCAGCCTTGCTAGCCTCGATTGGGCTGAGTCCTCTGGCGGTCGATCTCGAAGTCGGTGGCATTGTAGAGGGCCTTTTGCGCATCTTCCAACCGTTATCTTGTTGAGCCTGGTATCCATCGTAGCACTCAGGCCACCAGGTCTGGTAGCCGGGTCATGCATGTATAGTGAATGGCTGAAGGACTCCTCGATGAAGTAGTCACGCGACCACTACGATGATGATGGCAGCAACCTCTGCGCTGAAACACCTTCGCCCTTGACGACTGCGACTTGTGGGAAACGGCACGCTCTCCACACTCCTGGCTGAGCGAAGCTGCAGCTCGGCAGGGATTGAATCCCAGGCGAATCAACTTGGAAGCTGGCCCTGCTTGTCCTCACAGAGAAGCAGGAGCCCTTCAACAAACTCGGAATAGCCAAGGTCTTCTCTGACAAGGAAGCTATTCATGGCCTCGTGCTGCTCTCGGCAGAAGCTGAAGTATTGTTGGCAGGTTGCCGCTGCGTTGGGCAGCGTCTGCCTCACGAGCAGACTGCTCACAAGCCGCTGAAGAAAGTGCTTGGTCCCGTTGACATGGTCGAAGTCGGTGGTGGTCCAAGACATGGCCAAAAGGCGTGCTTGCTCACCAGCTTTGTAGCGCAGTAGCGCCTCTTCTCAACAGCTGTCCCCCAGACAAACCAGCACACTTCCATCCCATGATGGAATCTGAGTCTCGCGCTCCGACGTCATGGCGAGGTCAAGGAGGTCAAAGTTCAGGTCAAAGTGACCAAAAAGAAGAGGGAGACCAGGTCAAAGAGCTCGACCAGGTCAAAGGGTCAGGCACCGTCGCCTGAAGTGCGCAAAAAACAAAGAGGGCAAAGGGGCAGTTGCCGTCCAAGGGGGCAAAAGCGAGGAAGATGAAGACGCGTAGTGCGTCAAGCCACCAACCAAGCACCCAAGAGGTAGTCAAAGCGAAGCCAGCCAATCCACGGAGATCAAACCACTTGGTGGTGTCCTCAACGAAAGACAGCCGGCTCCCGAGCAACTGCTCCGCTACCAATGTAGCGGAGCGGGGCAGGGTAGCGAGATGGGCCCGATCGAAGCAAAGCAAGCTATGCGCTCAGTGCGCACCCTTTCCAATGACCTCGTCGGTCACTCCATAGCCAGGTCGTGGCGAGACGAAGCACACAAAAAGGGGCCCCTTCTCGAGCGGTAAGGGGCACCGGGAGAAATCAGCTCAAACCACTGAACCTGACATGTCTAGCTGGATCTGTTGCAGACTCTTTCCAAGTCAAAGCCTGGTGTTTCTCCGCGACTCTGTGGCTCAAACGGCAGCGTTTGGGCGAACCAGTGACCTTGCGGACGGCGCAGCGATGTGTGCGACATCGAAGGATCGCTCGATCTGATGGCGATCCGTGGGCAGCTGAAGCCTCAGTCATGTGAGGAGGGAAGTGGCAGTCTTTTTACCACTTCTTCTGAGGGGCAAACTGCCCTTGGGGTTGAATTTGTTGGGCACTTTGATTAAGATAACTGCCAGAAGAACACGCAGAGGAGATTACATTGTAAAATTCTCTACACTAAAGTGACTGCCCATGGGATTGCGACTGGGGTCTAGGTGAAAGACAAGACATGCCTTGTTCTTCGATGGGCGTATTTCATAAACCATTGTGTTTCTTGTGTGTTGAATCCTGTTCATTTTTCTTCGTGACACCATCAGTGTGTGACTATAATTGGGTCTCTCCTGATCTCTAACACGACTTTCTGGTGATGCTAGATACTGTAACAATAGTATAATGGACCGTGCCGGGGGATAATGTAAGGGAGAGGCCTAGTGAGAGGTGATGACAATAATTCTTCAAGTATATACGTACGGTATCTTCCAGCCATGAACAATCCAGATCTTCATTACCTACTGCGCACATTTGGAACGAATGGCTTCCATTCTAGGTATACAGAGGTGCCTCCGTTTGTTCACAAATTTCTTCTTGCCAACCTCTTCCACTGTCAGGTGGCTACTTTTGCCTGAGGCAAGACTTTTTTGTGGCTGCGTGGGCAGGATGCCAGCGGGAGAGGGGTGATGCGAAGGTGGAGGCCACGCAGGGTTCCAACTCGCAGTAGTCAGTGGGTCCCCATTTGGAGGCTTGACAAGATGATTCCCAGCAACTGTTGATTATTCCATTCCAGTGTGCCAGTGTTATGGGCTGGGTTTGGGTGGATTGTTTTAGCCATCCAATGTGTCTGGCTTGGCTGCAGTTATGATGGAGAAAGGGGGTAACATTGAACAAAACATTTTCACGCTTGTTTCTGCCCTGGTGGGTTTTAGACGAATGGTGGAACAACAGATTCCTTCGGCTTCAGGGCTTGATTTTGTGAAACACGTGATTGTCCCATCAAAGGAAGGCGATACAAGAGTTGCACGCTTGTGAGTTGGAATCATAAAGAACCAGAGTGTAAGACTGTAGAAACTTGTCAAAAGTGTTTAATTTGTCTTCGTTTTTATGGATTCAATTGACAATTCTGCATTAAATGAGCAACAACGAGTGCATGCTCTGACAAGAAGATTTGTTCCAGGCCCTTGTCAGTCTCCATGCTGCATTGGCGAAAAGATCTTCTGTCTGTCTTTGTAGCGTGTGCCTAACGATAAAACTGAGGAGATGATAGACGGAACACTTAGAAGATCCGGCACAAAATACATTGGCATTTGGAGGAAGTACGCTTATTAGTAGTCATAGAAATTAGAAGACTGTAACGTTAAAGTTGATGGTAGAAGCGCACAGTAGAAGCCATTGAGCACACAACATTGAAATGGCCACATAAAAACAGGCAATTGAGCTGAGAACGTGCCTTCGTCCTGGTCTCCAGGTCGTGCTGGTCTCCATGCTGCTGGCCCGAAGGGCACCGGGACTTTCATCTGCTGTCTACTGTGCTGCGCTTGAAGAAGGAGAGCAGCTGGGCTTCAAGGATTTTAGACTTTGAAGCGCACTACTACCTAAGCTCAAAGGACAACCAGGTCTTCAATATTCAATCTCTCAGGTCCTACTTGGCTGTGGTTGAGTTCTAGGCCTTGTGTTCTTGCACCAAATAGAACCTACCTCACCACTTTTCTACAAAAAATTGAGGTCGAAACAATCCAGAGACTTGTGTATACACTTCGGAGTGCCCATGGGACCTCGAAATTGAAACCAACTGCTGGTTGTTAGTGAATCTCCATGTGCCTGGATAGGCCATTTATACTCTTATTGACCACAGGGACCTAGGTCAGCAAGGGCACCCTCCTAGAAGGGAAATTATATGAAACCACATCAGTTCGGAGGTGACTGCCCGGCTTTTGACTACTGCAGCTACACCAAATTGCTTTCTTCAGCAACCTTCCCTCACCTAGTGATTTGGCATGTCCCGAAGGTCCAGAAAGACCCAAGCCTGTGGGTTTCCAGACTTGTTTTCTTGCCAGGCTTTAGAGAAAGCAGCCCAAGCAAGACTTCTTGAAACATTCTTCATGCAAAACCCAGCTCAGTGGCCAACAGATTTTTTCTGTTTGAACAGATCAATCAGGTCAGCTTGGCTGGACTTGGACCTGAACGAGAAGTCGCAAACCTGTAGCCCACAGACTTGGATTCCGGCGTTGCAGACCTGAGCAGCATTTGTGGATCTGCTTTTGCAACGTCTCCAGCCGTTTCGAAACGAGACTCATGCGTGGCCTTGAGCCTAGTGAAGCAGTGCCGGGCTCGTTCTTGCCATCTGAGTAAGACAGATGGCCAGACGCCCTTAAGCACTTCCTTGAGTGCTTGATTTGACTTCAAAGCACGTTGCACTTTGGAAGGCAACTTTGACTATACTGCGAAGAATCGTCAAGTGTTTGGTATCGGACCCTTAGGAGGTTCTTCGAATGGCAGATACGCACAGAAAACCTTCATGACTTGTGACAAGTCAGCAGAATGCTACCCTGGACATGTGGTCCAAATACAGACAAGCGTCCTGTGTCGTGTGGTCCTGTATACCAAGAATGATGCGTCTGCAAATGCGTTGGCCGGGCTCCTCGCATGCGCACAGCTCCTAAGTCATGTCTCGTTGCGGTTGTGCCAGCTAGATTCCCTATTTGTTGGCTTGAGAGTATCGCCTAGGAAATTTCTTGAGCTTTTTGTCCCTGCTTGAAACCTGAAGTCCAAAGGCTGCAGACTGCAGATCCTCCAGAAGATGGCCCTGATCCGACAACGCGGAAGATCTCAGGTGCTGGAAGAGCTAGGAACTTCTGGCAGATGAAGATACCTTTCACCTGCGGAAGATATCTTCCTGATTACAGCTCGACCACGCTTTCTTGGTGTCCCATGTTGGACACCGTCCAACTTCAG